AAACCAAAGTAAATACACTAGCCAACCAAAGGGCGTAGTAAAACCAAAACCAAAACCAAAACCAATCCCTTTCGACAGTCAAGTGAAAACCGCTCTAAATCGTGAGTCATGATTGGCTTATGATGACTTTAGAGAGAAGACGTGACTTGATCACGGTACTAGAACCATATTTTCTACCTAAAATACTCCATTCTACTAAAAGTTATTTTATAAAAGCAATAGACCACACTTTCTATGGGTTTACCGGCGTGATAACCCACTTGGGATGTTGGGAGAACACTCGAAAAGCTTGTAAATCACTCGCCTTCGGCTCGTGATTTACAAGCTTTCCTCGTGTTCTCCCAACATCCCGCGTGGGTTATCACGCCGATAAACCCATAGAAAGTGTGGTCTATTGCTTAAGTATTCTCGTTTCATTTTGCTAAACGGATCAATCACTCAGATCCGGGCTTAGACAGAAAGTACGATATTGTTCCTTTTTCTAAGGTGACCACCAAGTCTTGGCCTCGGGAACAGGCTCTTGGGAGTCAAAAGAATTAGGCGAGAGCAAAATTGCTGGTGAACTTTGACCAAGGACAAAACTTAGTTTTTTTCTGGTGTGAAGTCAGGGTCTACATCCGGGAACTTGAATAAGAGAAGTGTAAGAGACAAGTCCAGAGGTGTGTATCTGCCAATAGGCTGAGTTTTTCCGAGTTATTCTATGATATTTGGCTTGTGTTAAACGTCACAAGATTATGCGTGGTTGTGGATAGTTTTATCAGTGCCGCGAAAGTGTGTGATTGTGTGATTTCCGCATGGTGTTGACAGGTATGTGGTCGCGTGTTTGAGCTGTTTCGCTAAAGTATTCTGTGCCAGCCATAAGAACGTTTCTTCGGTGTTTAGGTTAGCTGGTTAATTGTACCTTGGAAAAGCAACTCTCGACTCAGGAAAATTGGATCTAGGTCTAGTTTCAGCGGGCTCTAATGGCTTTGAACCAATAGGCCGGTTTTTGCAGATACGAAGGTGATAATTTATGTACTATGTTTCATTCAGATTGTTATCTATTCCCTGCGAAACCCTGTCGTTTATCGGATCGCGAAAAAAGTAGTGTTTTGCTAACTATTTAAGTTGTTATGTAAGCCTTAGCCAGACACCTTTTCGCTGCAGTTCACTCAATTTAAAAATTTTTAGATTGAAGTGACACCAGTTTGAAACTTCACGGAGTCAGATCACTGAATAAATGTTCTAAAATTTGCGTCATTTCAAATTTGGACTCGTTGAAATTAATGCTTCTAGTAGCTACTAACTTACTGCCCGGAGTCAGATAAAGGCTTTTAATCAGCCTTTGAATGAAGTTTTATTTTTTTAAATTGCCAAGTAGTAGAATGAGTTGATTTTTTTGCGAACCCGGTTTTAAAAAATCCAGGTATAAATAGAAACGCATTTTATCCCTAAAGTATTGTGTAAGGCAATGGCCATGCATTTTAATTCATTTTGTAACCCTTTTTTTTTTTTTTTTTTTTTAAAACAGGTTTTAAAATTCCCCACCCCCCTTTTTCCCCCAATGGCCACTAAAAAATTTTTGGAAAAACAGCTTAACTTATTCTGGGTTTTTTACAAAGCCCCTCACCTACTGCCCCCGGCCCCGCCGTTTCTTTTCAACCAGGAAGGGGACAAGTCTTAAATGACAAACCT